TCTTTCTGTTTATTTATTTCCTTATATTGTGTTTTTAATAAAGGTTCCACTATATGTTTTTCATACAACTCTGTGTTTGGGGCCATCGAAACATTCCTTAGGTAAAAGGGGTTGTGGGATTTTAGAAACCTCATTTTGCAGGTTCTCTGCCCCCCCTGCCAATGTGGACTTCCGGGCTGCAGGGGCTGGAGCAAAAGTACTTCTCTTGCACCCAGCCAACCTGGGTTCAATCCCTGGCAGCTCATATGGTTCCCTGAGTTTTTCGTAAGTTTTCTGAGTCCCGAGCCATGAGTCAGCCCTGAGCACTGCTGGGTGTGTGCCTACCCCCCCAAAAAAAATTGGGGGCTAGAGGGCTGAAGCAATAGCACAACTGGTAGAGTGTTTGCCTTGCACACAGCCCACCCAGGTTCAATTCCCAGCATCCCATATGGTCCTCCAAGCACTGCCAGGATTAATTTCTGAGTGCATGAGCCAGGTGTAACCCCTGTGCATCGCCGGATGTGACCCGAAAAGCAAAATATATATGTGGTTAGAGGCCAAACTGGAGGCCTGGAAGGAAGCTGGGGCGAGACCCAGGGGGCGTCAGGCTCTGAGGCAGGTGGTCACTTCTGCTCACCTTCCCTATGCTCAGCCCAGTGCCACGGCCAGGACACTAGCAGTCCAAAGAACAGACTTGTCTTTAGCGACCAGAGTAGGGGGACCCCAGAGGCTATGTGATCCCAGCTGTCTTGTTGGTCAGGGCAGACTTCCTGGAGGAGAGGACTCCCGTTGCTCAGGTTTTCCGTCCATGAGACCCCCATCCTCTAACTGTGCTCTCTGGCCCGCAGGCCTTCCCCGTGCTGGTGGGGGACATGGACAATAGCGGCAGCCTCAATGCACAGGTCATTCACCAACTCGGCCCTGGTCTCAGGTCCAAGATGGCCATCCAGGTGAGTGGGCTCCCCAGGCACCCCCCGCTGCCCTGCAGGGCCAGGCCAGACCGCCTCACGCTCCTCCCGCCCACAGACCCAGCAGTCCAAGTTCGTGAACTGGCAGGTGGATGGGGAGTACCGAGGCTCCGACTTCACAGCAGCCGTCACCCTGGGCAACCCCGATGTCCTGGTGGGCTCAGGTGAGGGGCTGGGGCGGGAGAGGCCACCCCAATTGGCATTGGGCAAGCGAGAGCCCTTCCTGGCCCCTGCTGCTGCTGTTTCATCCTGGCCATGGGAGGGCACTCTCAGCACTGCGTGGGGGGGGGCGTGGGGACCCAAGCATGGGGTCTAGGCCCCCCACCCTTAAGTGGTCTTCTGGGCTTCCAGGGACAGCATGAGAGCCCCCATGTCTAAGGAGTCCGGAGGAGCCCAAGAAGGGGGCCCAGAACTGCACCGCAGACGGCTGGGAGCTCGGGCGCGGGGGAGGCGGGTCCTTGGGGGGAGCTCCCTGGGGTGCAGAGAGAAGGGGGTGCCTTCCCCAGGGAGACACTTCAGTGTTGTATTCAGTCTTCTGCAGACACCACAGCCCTGTGGGGGCCTGACGGTGCTCCCTGAGGGCTTGCACATGCGCCTTGTTGGCTGCGTAGGGAAGCAACCGCGGGACCGGGATGCGCACACACCCCCGAGCCTCACGAAGCAGGTCCCCTCGGCACTGGGCTGCCAGTGCTGGGTCTGGAGTTGGGTTCTGGGGAGGGGAGCAGGGTTAGCGGCAGGTCAGCCCCCTGAGTCCCTGTCTGAATCCCCTCACTGTGGGCCTCAGTTTTCCCTGCCCCGATGGAAGGTGTGTCTGACCACATCCCCCTGCCGGCCCCTTTCCGGGCTGCGTGTCCTCCTCCAGAGCGAGACTTTGCTTGGGTTCCAGGCACCTGGCCCTTCACAGGCCGGGGTTGGGGTGGAGACTGTCACTGGGGGACAAGGGCGGGCTGGGCCAGCAGGTGCCCAAACCCGGTCTGAGTGTTCTCAGGCCCTGTAGCGGGCTCTGATAGCGGCACCTGCTGGTGACTGCTTGGCATCTGGGGCAGTCTTGGAAGTGGGGATCAAAGGTTGCCCCTGGCGCAGGATAGACCTGTTGCCGAGGTCCCCATGGGAGCTGGGAGCCCCCAGGAACAGCAGCTGGAGGGGGCAAGGTTCCCTCAAGCCTCCATCCAGCGGTGACCAGCCCTGAGCACCAGCTGGGCAGCCAGACTCAGGCAGTCCCTCTTTCGCCCACAGGCATCCTGGTGGCCCACTATCTGCAGAGCATCACGCCATGCCTGGCGCTGGGCGGAGAACTGGTCTATCACCGGCGGCCGGGCGAGGAGGGCACTGTCATGTCTCTAGCCGGGAAATACACAAGTGAGCGGGGCTGGGTGGCCCTCCTGGCTGGGGCAGGGCGGGGAGGGGTCCCAGGCTCACATTTCCCTGGTCCCGCCCTCCCGCAGTGAACAACTGGTTGGCAACAGTCACACTGGGCCAGGCAGGCATGCACGCGACATACTATCACAAAGCCAGTGACCAGGTAGGCGGGAGCGCCCTGGGGTGGGATGGGGGGGGCGCTCTGTAGGCAGGTGCTAATCCCGGTTTGTGACCCCTCCCCAGCTGCAGGTGGGCGTGGAGTTCGAGGCTAGCACGAGGATGCAGGACACAAGTGTCTCCTTTGGGTACCAGCTGGACCTGCCCAAGGCCAACCTCCTCTTCAAAGGTACTGGCCTCAGTTTCCCAGGCCTGGACACAGCCCCACCCACCTACCCCACTCCTGAGACCTGTGTCTCTTGCATAGGCCTCAGCCCCGGGCTGCGAATTCCTGTCCTTGTGCCCATCGCCCTCGGCTTTGGGGTGTAGCAGGACCCCCTGAAGGGCTGCAGGGGACGTAGACGGGGTGGGCGGAAGGCCCTGCCAGCCACAGCTGTGCTAGGGGATTGAACCTGTGCTTCCTGGGCCTCCGGGCAGCACTCTGCTCAGCTCAGTCTGAGGGTAGGGCCTGTGTGTGACCCAGTACTGAGCGCTGTGTCTGCCCCAGGCTCTGTGGACAGCAACTGGATCGTGGGCGCCACGCTGGAGAAGAAGCTGCCGCCGCTGCCCCTGACGCTGGCCCTGGGCGCCTTCCTCAATCACCGCAAGAACAAGTTCCAATGCGGCTTCGGCCTCACCATCGGCTGAGCCTCCCTGCCGCCACCGCGCCCTTCACCCTGCATATCCCACCGCGCCCCCCTCCTCTCCCTCCCCTCCTTCCTCGGGGACTGGGGGGCCGTGGAACGGAGGGGACCCGTCACCCCAGCAGTGGAGGCCCCCAGGCGGTGCCTCGGGACCTGGAGCCGGGGGCAGTGAGCCCAGGAGTGGGCCTGGGGGCCCCGGAAGGAGTTCCGGCATCGAGGGGGACGCGGGACCCCGAGCGCCAGGGCGGGGGTGGCCAGACAACCTCAGGGAGGTGTGGGGGTGTCCCTGTCCCCCCCAGGGCCCTGAGCCCGGCCCCACGGGGGCAGCACGCGGAGGAGCGTCCCCTTCCCCGGTCCGCCCACCTTCCCGCCCGCCCCTCGGTATAAATCATGTTTATAAGTTATGGGAGAACCGGGACATTTTACAGAAAAACAAAAAACAACAAAAAATATATGTGGGAGAAAACCAGCCGCCGCTCTGGGAGGTCTCCTTCTCGCCGCCCGCCAGGCGCCCTTCCCGCCGCTGCCCGCAGGGGGCGCTGTGAGGCCAGCGCGCGTGAGGCCGCCGCGGGCGGGGTCGGGCTGAGCACGGCGTCCAGGGGAAGGGTCTGGCCCGGGGTCACAGCCTGGGTGACTCACGCCCCGCCGCGGACATCACAAGCCCTTCTTCGGGAGGGCAGCGTCATGCGGTCACCAGCCCAGGCGTGACCTGGCCGCCGTGGACTTTGTCCCGCCTGCTGAAGCAACAGGGCGGTGGGTGCTGGAACCAGCGAGCCGGACTCCTGGGCTCAGGCCCCTAGCCACGGAGGACAGGGTGTTGCAGAAGTTTCTGGAAGGCCTCCTCCACCTCCCCCCCCAACACACACCCGAAAATAAAAGCCGCCCGGGGCGCGAAAGCCTTGGGTTGCTGCACAGCTGGGGGGAGGAGAAAAGACCTGAGAGTCCAGTGCCCCCCAAAACCGGGGCAGGAGGGCGCGGGGCCGGGACCCCGCAGCCTGGGAGTGGGCGCGTGCGCCAGGGCCGTAGCGGGGATCCCCGCGTGCTTTCTGCCTTTCGGCTCGGGGCCATCACCCAAGCCATCGGACTGGGCGTCGTAGCTGAAGCAACGGCCTCTTGGAGGGTGGGTAGCCTGGGAGAAAGGAGGGACCGGACCCCGTGGGCCCCTCCTGGCATTTGGCGCGGCGGCCTCGGCGCGTGCCAGGGATTGTGCTGGGTCCATCATTGTTGCGCCATGCCGCTGTGGGGTAAGCGCGGAGAAACCCGTTCGGTGGAGAAACCACTGAAGGCCCAGAGATGCTGGGTCCTTGGCCCAAGGTCACACAGCGGGCGCCGGGGGACAGCCCGGGCTATTTGGTTCCAGAGTCCGCAGCCCAAAAGGGGCCGCGGGAATGAATGCAGGCACGCCCGGAGCAGGGGCAGGGGTGAGGGGTGGGTGCCCGGGGGTCCTCCGCCTGCGGGCCGAGCGTTGGGTTTCTGTGTCACAGCTGAGGGGTTCATCTGTCCCCAAGGTCTCGGGCGGAAAGCCAGGGTTCACCCGGGCGCCGGCTCCTTTGAACCACAGTCGGGGCGCCCTCCCCCATTTTTCCCATCCCCAGAAAAAGAGGGGCAGGGGAGGGCATCCCGCAGCGGCCTGTGACCTGCCCTTCAAGCCCGGCGCCCCCAGAACGCAACAGGGGACCCATTGACTGCGGAGTTAGTCAATTCCCTTGTGGGGACCTGGGGGTGCTGGGGGGGGCGGTCACAGGGCTTCGGGCCCCACCCGCCCCTCCCTGCTGCGTGCGTGTGGGCTGGGGGGTAGGGAGCAGCCCACCTCGTGACTGGGGGCGGCCCAGATGCCCCGGCCCGGAGGAGTGGGCGGGGCGGGGGGGGGAGCCCTATAACTGGACCCGCCTGGGATCCCGGAGCGCTGCGGATCCCCTGCGCAGGACCAGGACCCGGACCCCGCGGAGGCGGTGAGCTGCAGAGACCCGCGCCGGGGTGACTGGGGGACCGGTTTGGGGGAGGGGGCTCTCTGTCCTTCTTACTCCCTGGATCAGGGCACAAGTTGCAGCCACGATGGGTACGATGAGAACGAGACCAGAGTTGGGGAGCCAACCCAGGGCGGGGGAACTTAAGGTCCGGGGGTGCTGAGATGAGCCCGCGCCGACCCTGCTCTCTGCGCGCCCCGCGCCCTCGAGGCCCCGGGAACCGGAGGTGCAGGGGCGCGGCGGGGCCGCGCGCGCCAACGTCGAGGGAAGCACTTGGCACCACGGGTGGAAAGAGCCAAAAAGTGAAAAACGGCGCCTAGAGGTGCAACTGGGGCTTCGCGGGTGCGCCGAGTGCGGAAAAGGGGCGCTAGGGTGGCCCCCCACAAGCCTGGCTCGGGGCTGATGTGGATTTCGGAGGGGTGCGTGGAGTTTGAACCCTGCGATGGGCTGGGGACGGGATGGAATTTTGGAGGCGAGGCTGCCCGGGAGATGGAGTGATAGCAGATAGGAGAAGACAATGGAGTTTAAATAGACAATGAAGAGGATTAGATTAGGCTGAGGATGGTGGGGGTGGGGGTGGGGGCGGCCACCCAGCTTCTAGGGCCCGGGCTGGGGGTGGGGTGGGCGGAGCCGGGGTGGGAGGGGCGGAGCCGCCCCTTGACTATTAAGTTTTCCTCCTCCCCAGATTGACCAATCGCAGACCGGGAAGATGAAGGTTCTGTGGGCCGTGGTGGTGGTCGCGCTCCTGGCAGGTAATGGCGGTGGGCTCCGTCGAACCTTCTGTCCTTCCCGGAACCTTAAGTTAGGTCCTGGACCTTCCTACTGAAGAAGCGGCCCCAGGTCTGGGTCTTCCACGCGACCATCACTAGCTGTTTGGCCCTCTCTGGGCCTCAGTTTCCCCATCATTCCCATGGGAAGGACACATTTCCCCTTGCTGCAGAGCAGGCAGTGAACTGGGGTGATTTGAACAGTTGCCAGTGCCCCTTTCCTTCCCCCGCTGCACGCAACACCCCCAAACATTCCATAAGCAAACTGGGTTTCTCCCCGGCCACTGAAGGCCCGGAGAGGCTGGGTCTTTGGCCCAAGGACCGATTCTGAGCCGGGTCCTGCTTGCCCCTCGCAGGATGTCCAGCCCGCGTGGCGTCCGATGCCGAGGAGGAGCTGGAGGCCCAGCTGGAGACAAGGATGCCGCAGCAGAAGCCTGAGCTGGAGCGCTGGCAAGCCACTCAGCCCTGGGAGCAGGCCCTGGGCCGCGTCTGGGATTACCTGCGCTGGGTGCAGACGCTCTCCGACCAGGTGCAGCAGGAGCTGCTCAGCTCCCAGGTCACCCAGGAGCTGTCGTGAGTCCCGCCCCCCGCCCCCCGCCCCGTTCTACCCGGGTGTCCCGCGCTCCAACTCCCCAACACGGGCATCTAGGGCAACAGTCCCCTCTTTTCCGGAGTTGGGGGCTTGCCTGCTGAGCAGATGATGTGGTGCCTGAGTTCGAACCTAGGGGTTCCCACGGGCGAGAATGTGCTCCAGCCCCTTGGTCCACCTCCCCACGGCCTCTCTGTTCTGTTGGTTTCTTGCCTCCTCTTCCTTGAGCCCCCCCTGGCTTCACCACTCTCTCTGCATTCCCTCGCCCTCCCTGTTGTCTGGAATGTGCCCATCTCCCGTGTCCGTCATTCTGGCTCAATCGCCCACACGTCTCATTTTCCCCTGACCCTCTCACCCGCTTGGGGGGACCATGGGGGGACATCTGCGCACCCACCCCCACCCCCTCCTTTCTCCGGATTCCTGGCTGTCCGCCCACGCGGGAACCCTCCCCCCTCTGCCTCCCCCTCCAGGCAGCTGAGCGAGGAGACCATGAGGGAAATCAAGGCGTACATGGCGGAGGTGGAGGCGCAGCTGGGCCCTGTGGCCGAGGAGACCAAGACCCGCGTGACCAAGGAGCTGCAGGCCGCGCAGGCCCGGCTGGAGACCGACATGGAAGACGTGCGCAGCCGCCTGGGCCAGTACCGCACGGACGTGCAGTCCATGCTGGGCCAGAGCACCGACGAGCTGCGCAACCGCCTGGCCTCGCACCTGCGCAAGCTGCGGAAGCGGCTCCTGCGTGACGCCGAGGACCTGCAGAAGCGCCTGGCCGTGTACCGCGCCGGCGCGCACGAGGGTGCGGAGCGCAGCGTGGGCGCCCTGCGCGAGCGCCTGGTGCCGCTGATGGAGCAGGGCCGCCTGCGCGCCGCCTCCGTGGGCACCCTGGCCGGCCGGCCGCTGCAGGAGCGCGCCGACGCCTTCCGCCAGCAGCTGGCCGGGCGTCTGGAGGAGGTGGGCGGCCGCGCCCGAGACCGCCTGGACGAGCTGAACGAGCAGATGCGGGAGGTGCGCGTGAAGATGGAGCAGCAGGCCGAGGCCTTCCAGGCCCAGGTCAAGAGCTGGTTCGAGCCCCTGGTGCAGGACATGCAGCGCCAGTGGGCCGGGCTGGTGGAGAAGGTGCAGCAGGCCATCGGCAACCACCCGGCCGCGACCACCACCCCGGTGCCCAGCGAGAATCAGTGAGCACCTCGCTGCTCCTGGGGGCCCCCCCCCACGCTGCCGGCCTTCCCCACCCCCAGCTGCCGGAGTCGCCCCGCCCTGGTCATCCTCCCACCCCCAGGGGGCTCCCCTTAATAAAGATTCAGAAGCTTCCAGCACGTTGCAAGCGCTCTTGTGTCCTGTGTCCTTCCCTGCGCCGGTTGCGTTTCCTCCTCAGGGGACCCATGCATGACCCTGGATCTCTGGGGCTGGGGCTTCTCCTCAGCCCTTCCCGTGCCAAGGTTGGAGGCGAGGCGAGGCTCATGCGTAGGGTGCTCTGGCTTTAGCACACCATCCTCTGCAACCTCACAAGGGTCTGGGTTCGCCGTCTCTGCCTCTCCGTTTTGTAACAAGTCCACTTCTGAGGTTAAAAAATAAATAAAAGATAAAAGGCGGGGCTGGAGCGATAGCACAGCGGGTAGGGAGTTTCCTTGCACACAGCGGACCCGGGTTCGATTCCCAGCATCCCAGATGGTCCCCCGAGCACCGCCGGTAGTAATTCCTGAGTGCATGAACCAGCAGTAACCCCTGTGCATCACCGGGTGTGACCCAAAAAGGAGAAAAAAAAGTGGGTGGGGGGCACACCCAAGAATGCCCAGGACTGAAGTCCTGCCTCTACTCTTGGGAATTAAGCTCTGGGGGTGCAGGGGAACCCTATGGGATGCTGGGAATGGGACCTGGGACGGCACCACGCAAAGCAAGCACCCTACCAGCTGTTCTGTCACTTCCAGCCAGTCCCGGGGGTAAAATTTATTTTCTTGCGTGGTGAATCTGATTTCAGCGTTGCTTCCTGACTTTTCAGAACAACATAGTGGACCCTAGAAAAGTGAGTCATCCCTGAGTCAGGTTTGGGTATCATGGACCCCAAAGGACCCAAGGCCTGACTCGGGAGAGTCCAGTGAGTGGCTGCATAGGTTTCGTGTGCGGAGATCTGGGTTCACTCCCCAGCACCCCAGGGTTCCCTCAGCACTGCTGGGTGTAGCCCCCAAGCAAAAGGGGCTGGAGAGTTAGCCCAGAGGGCAGCTGTGGTGCTGGCCCCACCTGCAGCCCAGCCAAGCATCAGAGTGCCAGTGGAAACACTCTCCAAGCACAGAGCTGAGGGAAGCACCCCTGGCCAAGCCTAAATCAAAAAGTCACTGAGGTAGGGTCAGAGGGATGGTACAAGGGAGGAGGGCATTTGCCTTGCATGTGGCCAACCAGGTTCGATCCCCGGCACCACCAGGAGTGACTCCTGAGTGCAGAGCCAGGAGTCGGCCCTAAGCATAGGCAGGTGTGGCCCAAATAGAAAGAATCTGAGACCATTTCATCATTTCATTTCTCCCCACTATTCAACACACACACACACACACACACACACACACACACACACACACACACTCTCACTAGATGTTTTATTGTTTTTGTTTTGTTTTTTTGAGGGGCTGGAGATGGAACCCATGGTGTGGTACGTGCGAGAATAAGTGCTCCCAGTAAGCCCAGCCGTTGTGGGGCTGTCTGGGCTCAGCCAGCTTCCCGCAAGGGCCTCTATCTTTTATCTCTCTCTCTCTCCTTTGTAGTTTTTCTTGCCCCAGGCTTTCTCTCTAATCCTTCATCTGAAAGTTTCCCGGCAGCCTGTGACCCCCCCCCCAACCTCCTCCCCTTAACCTCCACCTCCCCTCCACCCGCAGCTGTAGCACAGTGGGGATAAGCTTGCCTTGCAGGCTGCCCACCCACATTCAAGACCCTGAGCACCTCCGAGTGGAATTCCTGGGTGCTGAACCTGGAGCAGTCCCTGAGCATCGCTGGGTGTGGCCCCCAAACCAAGAAAAGCAAAAACAGAAAAACAAAACAGGACACCAGGCCCTCTGCTTCACCCCTCCTCTCCATTCCTGCCTCCGCCCCCACCCCCCTTCACTGTCCACTTCCCATCTCTCCCTTCAGGCTCTGACTTGCTTGTTGGGAGCTGGCTGGGGGGGGGGGGGGGGGCGTCCCTCTCACCCCCTCAGTTCTCAGGAAGGTGTAGAGAACAAGCCTGGGCCTGAGCGCCTCCCTTCAGTCTTCCCAGTCGCTGGTGCTGCCAGAGGAGGGGGGGGGTTCTCCACCTCAGCTGCCCTGGGGCTCCCCGCCCATCCCTGGGGGGAGTTGGGGGGCCGCTGCTGATTTCACAGTGTGCCCTGGCCAGGAGCCAGCGGCTCTCAACCTCAGGCTCCCCACCTGTCAGGGAGGGCGGCCGTCCAGTCCCTGCACTGGGAGAGCTGAATCCTGGGGGGTGCGGAGCTCAGACCGGCTGACGGGGGTGGATAGAGAAGACTGCTTGCTAAGGGGGGTTGCTAGCTAGATCTTGGGTGGAGGGGAGAGACCGGCAGCCCCCACCGGGCTCAGCCCCCCCACCCCTCCCTCCTGACCGCCAGTGCGGAGGCAAGCACCCTCCCCCCCAGATGCCAGAGCAGAGAAGTTGTTGTTCTCTTCTGGTAAAGAGGGGAGCACGCTGGGGGGGGGGGGTGTCTGGAGAGTGCCTGACTCCTGGGGGAAGCAGATGTCTGGAAAGGCTAGACTGGGGGCTGGGGGGGCCACAGCCAGTGTGTCGCAATCCTGGCGGGTGGGATCTTAGGTGCCTTTCACAACTCTCCACCACTGCAGCTCCGGGCTGACACGTGGCCGTGGGGGCACAAGGCCAGCCAACCTAGAGGGCCCAGGGCACCCCTCCCCTCCTGCCCGGCTGCCAGGGTTCACTGGCGGTCAAAGGCAGCCCCAGGAAGTGTGGACGGATGTGGTGGGAGGAAGGGCAGCTGGGGGGGGGGGGGGCGCCTGGTGCCAGCAGGGGTCTGAGAGCGTGAATGGAGCAGATGAGGGCCTGGAGGCTTGGAGAGTAGGACCCCCCCACGAGAGAAAGGGGGGCAGGGAGGCACAGAATGGGATTCTTAAAGCTGACGCTGTTGTCAGTTCTTTTTATTTTTGGGGGGTTGGGGCCATATCTGCAGTGCTCAAGGGCTACTCCTGGCTCTGTGCCCAGGGGTCTCCTTGGCAGTGCTGGGGGAGACTATGAGGTGAGGGGGATCAAACCAGGGTTAATAGCGTGGCAAGCACTTTTTTTTAATGTTTTTGGTTTGGGGGCCGCACCCAACCAGAAGATGCTCAGGGCTTACTCCTCGTTCCAGAGTTACTTCTGGAAGTGCTCTGTCCTGGGACCAGATGGGATGTCCGGGATCAAACCTAGGTCAGCCCTGTGGAAAGCAACGCCCTTCCGGCTCAGGCAGGAGGCAAACACTTTTTTTTTTTTTTGCCTTTTGGGTCACACCTGGTGATGCTTAGAGTTTACTCCTGGATCTGCACTCAGGAATTCCTACTGGCGGTGCTCAGGGGACCATATGGGATGCCGGAGATCAAACCCAAGTGTCCAGTACAAGGCAAGAAGAGTCCCCCACCCCAGCTGTGCTATCTCTCCAGCCCTGAGGCAAACATCTGTACCCCATTTTCCTCCTCAGCCCCAAAGTTTCAGCAGCCTAAAAAAGTCATTCTCCAGGAGGGTTATAAGATTAAGGCTTGAGAACTGCCCCCTGACCCCAGGTACAGGTTGCTGGGGAATGCAGAAGGGTTAGTCTGAGAGACCGGAAGTAGATGGAGGGGTGTTATATGGGGCACACTGGTGACCCAGAGATATGGATGAGTTTTTTTTTTCTTTTTGGGTCACACCTGGCGATGCTCAGGGGGTTACTCCTGGCTTTGAACTCAGGAATCACTCCTGGTGGTGCTCAGGGGACCATATGGGATGCTGGGAATTGAACCCGGGTCAGCCACGTGCAAGGCAAACGCCCTACCCGCTGTGCTATTGCTCCAGCTTTGAGGTATGGATGAGTTTATCTTTTCATTTGTTTGTGTCCATACCAGGCAGTGTTCAGGACTTACTCCTGGCTCTGTGCTCAGGTTCAGGGGACCACATGGGGTGCAAGGATTAAACTGGATTGACCGTGAGCAAGGCAAGTGCCCTCCCTACCTTCTGTACTATCGCTCCAGCCCCTGAGTCGATCTTTTGATCATTTGTGGGGCCAGAATGGAACCCAGATCTTTCACACAAGACACAAGCTTTACAGCTGAGTCCCACCCAGCGTTTTAAGGCTTTGCCTGCGTTAAAGAGTCCTGTTAAGAAGGGCAGGGCCAAAGTATTGCCACTCAATCCTCCATTCCATCCCTGAGACCCAAGAAAACACTCAGGGAGCCTGAAACTTAGTATATCAGGTAAGGCCTGACATGTGATTGACCCCAGTTTGATTCCAGGCACCCCACAGGGTCCCATGAAGCACACCCTACCTGCTGTGCTATTGCTCCAGCCCCAGGAGTAATTCTTGAGTGCAATGCTTGTAGTAAGTCCTGAGCATCTCAGGGTATGGCCCCCCAAAAAGGTGATCCCTGAGTACAGAGCCCCAAGCACTGTAGGATATGGCCCCTCCAAACAAAACAATTTACTCAGATCATCCAAAATTAAATAGTGACATAAATTTTATTACCAAAAAAAAAAAAAAGTAACAAGGGGCCAGGAGCAATAGTCCAGCGGGTAGGGCATTTGCCTTGCATGTAGCCGACCCGAGTTTGGTCGCCCAGCACTACCAGAAGTAATTCTTTTTTTTTTTTTTTTTGGTCACACCTGACGATGCTCAGGGGTTACTCCTGGATTTGCACTCAGGAATCACTCCTGGCAGTGCTTGGGGAACTATATGGGATGCCAGGATGGAACCTGGTCGGCTGCATGCAAGGCAAACACCCTACCTGCTGTGCTATTGCTCTGGCCCCAGAAGTAATTCAAGAGTGCAAGGATAGTAATAAGTATGGCCCAAAAACCAGAGAAAGAGAGAGAGAGAGAGAGAGAGAGAGAGAGAGAGAGAGAGAGAGAGGTGGAAATGAAGGAAAGGACTCTGCCAGAGGGGGCGCAGGGAGTGGGAGCCCCCCAATCCTGCGGGCGGGCCTCTAGTTGACCATTTCTTTCTTTTCTCAATTTCAGAGGTTCCCCGGACTTTCCCACAGCTGCACTGGTTGGAAAGGCTGGGCACAACCAGCCCACCCCACCAGAATGCCAGCCCCCAAGGCAGCCTGCCCCCTGCCCCCCCACCCCGCCTCAGGATGCAATCACCCCCAGGAATCG